GATTAAATCTCCTTAAATAATAAATATTGTGAGAGCGCTGTGCTTCGACATACATGTATTAGAGCTACGCACCTCCAGCATAAGAAATCTTGATATTCGTCAGGGTAATAACCCAAACAGCGAACGCTGTCAACATTTTGAAAAAAGATACTGAAAAGAGAATATACTGAATATGTCAGTCAAATTTCTTCATGGAGCACAGATTTCAAAGTTGGTGATCGATCAACACATTACACAATTACATATTCCTCGTATACTGCGGGGATCACGTGGCTAAGTGGGTAAGACGCTGGCTCGCTAGCCTGGAGGTCGGGTGTTCGATCCCTGCATTGGCCGAGAAAGTTCATCCAGATTTTCAGGCGTGTTTCCCCCTTGTCAGTGATGCAGGACGGAGGGCCTGACAAGGACAGCTGTCTAGTCCTTCGGATGAGACGAAAAATCGAGGTCCCGTGTATACATTGGAATGCACGTAAAAGATCCCTTGGCAGTTGGAATTCGATATAAGAGTAGGCGATAGTGCCTCTGCCCGGGCAAAATTTCCCTCATAGCACACTGTATGGCGTATGCCCGTCTTCATTAGCCCAGGTTAGGAGCAGAACAGTAGGACGTTAAACCCCATTTCATTTCATTTCATTTTTCGTATACCCCCCCCCCCCCCCTACTGTAAATAATCTGGGCGACACTTTAAATGGTTTAAATGGATCATCTTTCAGTACTTATGACGGAGATAACGACGGTGATGCCAACAGAAACCGTGCCCTCCAATATGCTGGAGGATGGTGGTTTCCCCTTGTCAGTGTAGACCACGATGTCGCTGCCGGGCAAAATTTCCCTCATTGCACACTGTATGGCGTATGCCCGTCTTCATTAGCCCAGTCGCAGCAGAACAGTAGGACGTTAAAACCGATTTCATTTCATTGATAACACAAGCTGTTTATGCCATGAACAGATAGGGTATATTTATATATGAAACTAATCAACCAAACAGGTGAGAAAAAAAATATCACACATGCATAATCCTAGGGTAGTGGGTGGGGTGGGTGGGGAGTTTGTGGGAGCTAGGAAAACACCGAACAACGTTCCGTGCAGGGTCCGATATCGCCGAGTATTGAGAAAAAGACGGAGATAGCTAGCAAAGGGATCAGAAAAGTGAAATTAATGTTGGTCTGATCCCATATTAAGAAATGGAGTTTTCTCCCTTAACCTTTCAAAGAAAGTCTTATTTCATGAATTGTTAATTTCACCATTAAATACCGCACTAAATACAAAATAAATCAATAAATTCCTTGTGAAATATTGTTTTCTTTTTATTATTAAATCATATCAAGTTAAACCGTTTCTTGTTTCAAACAACGGACAAACCTTCTTTTTTATATACATATATTTTATACGAAAAATATAACAAATTATATCATAATAAAAAAGGATAGCAACTGTAATGAAGTCATCCGACCCTCGAAATATTGTTTTAGGAATTGAATTCTGCATAGATTGCTATGAGGGCAGGGCCAGATATGGTTTTTGCGGGGCCCCTGACTGAAGATTTCACTGGTGCCCTTTATTCAACAGTGAAAAGGGAGCACGGTATGATCATTGTCGGTAACAATCACACACATGTAATTTTTATATCAGTATTCATATCACACTGTGTGGCGTATTCCCGTCGTTATTAGCCTAGCATTGGGCTCCTATAATATTGGACCCCTGCCAGCAGTCGAGTCAGCGCCTCCGGTCCTGATAAAAGGTTTAAGAATGTGACTCATTTCAGGTCTCTCGGGGGATAGCACAACGTTTTGTCAAACCATTTATCAACTCTGTCTATTGTTTTGGAATATATTTGTAAATGATTGATTCTATAGCATATTTCACACAAGGCTGGTGTCTCGTATTGATATGTATATACATGTAGTTGTTATTTTATCACTGTGTCCACACGTTTATATACACTTCTATACAAATCGTTTTTTCTGTAAGCCTCGTGATTTGTATTAAGATAGTGTAGATAATCAGCTTAATCCTTGATAGTTTTAAAATCGCTGATGTCTATAAATGTTCTAGCAGGAATATATTTTGTATAATTTCCCCCACCTCGAGCTAGTACGATATAATCACCGTTATAGACACGATATAATTTTACAGTTACATAATCCTCACAAAACGAACTTTCAAAAACCATAACAAATTTATATGTTGAATTTATCATTTGCTGAAATTCTTTATCTTTACTTCTGGGTCACTACTGGCCACAATCACCGTAGATATCAACTTTGATGTACTTTTGTAGAATTTTTACATATTCCATTCGTTTGCCATTTTTCGTGCACATACTGACCATCCACGCGATATTCTTAGTTTTATTTTTAACAAGCGAATCTAAGTCCCTATTATAGAACTCCGATACAGTTTTCTTTCTCACTTGACCATAAGCTGCCGAAATATCTGAATCATCTCTATAAAGCATTGCCCGGTTAAATAAATGACGCCATTTGAGATTTCTAAAGACATTATTCCTAATCCAGGGTGTGTTAAAATCGTCTAACGGTTCTGTATCATGCATTATCCATATTTGGTTTGGATTTGGTCTTGTTGGCGGTTGGGGTATTGACATAATCTGAACATTGTACAAAACAGCAGCAGCATCTTTCATATAACTTGTATTTGTTGTCGTAAAACGGTTTCTCTCTGGACATGCTTTTAAAGGCTGTAGATTTGGTGTATTATAAACATATCTAGGGGGAACATACCGTAATATAATTTTACGTTCTTTATACGTAGTTTTATTTTCATATTCGGATGTTATTATTTCATCTATATGACGCTGTTTATGCTCTGTGCTCGATTTATTGCAATTCACGTCATGAAGCAATTTGACTTCCGTAATCCGGTTTAAAGCTGGCAATAACATTGTGAATTATAAATATACTAGTTGCTACTAGAAACACGGATATCGGTGTTGGTAAATGTTTTCTGAAATAAAAGAACAATGTTTGATATTGTGAATAAGCATGATAAACTGAATGGTCATAATCATGTAACCTGGTCCTTGCCGAATATCCCACAGTTGGCCTAGAAAGTGCCCAGAAATACGCCAGTATGGCTTCCTCTTGTCAGTGTTGCAGAACGGAAGGCCTCTTTTCTAGTCTATGTGACGGGGCGAGAAACTCCGGTTCTATTTCAGGGGGGTTGGATGGTTGAATGGTTAGCGTGCGCGCGCTGTATCATTAAGTCTGTCATTGAGTCGACTGGCGTGGTTTCGAATTCCCGGTTGTACGTGACAAGGAGTAGGGTCGCCTGTCCAACCTCGTGGGTTTCCTCCGGGTCCTCCGGTTTCCTCCCACTGTTAAAGACCCCTACGCGCAAGCGAATTATTGAAATACAATTAAAACCATATGTTAGTCCCGAAATGAAAAAGTTTGTGTCGAGTGGACGTTAAACCTCATTCCTCTCTCTTTCTCCTGTTCCATTTTACTTTGGTGTGCACGTAAAATAACCCCGAGTAGTTGGAATTATTAGCTGGCAATTAGTATGAAGGTATATGTACTAGAATAAAATTCACGGTGGCTAAGTGTGACAAAGTGATCTTTATACTTTTCATCAAACTGAACGATCATTTAGCTTTATAGAACTTCATGAACTCTGCTAGATTTGATAATAGATGATATTGACGTTTCACCTCTGTATAAACTTGGTTAAGGCACGGACTCACTGTGATGTTATTAAACATCTAATGTCACAATCCCATATGTCATTTACAAACTACATATATGCTCTGTGTACAAGACCCACGTGACTTCAAAGGAATATGCACTGGTCAGTAGGCATGCCGTGACGAGATAAAGGAGACAATGTGTTCGAAGTATATAATCAGGCGTTGGCTGACAGTTAGAGCAGAGAGGAGCGGGGAGATGAAGAGAGGCTTGGACGAGTGTATGGATTCACCCGAGATCAGCCGCTGCCTTGGCAGAGGGGTGGAATGGTGGATTTAATATTGTTATATGTGTTCCTGTCGTAGACTAGTTCTTATATACATGTAGTTTAAATTCCCGTATTGTTGTTGTATGTATGTAACTGTAGCTGTTATATGTTCCCGTTGTAAATAAATCCTAAATTTACTAAACTGATCTCTGTCGTCACTAAGTTATAGTGTTACATAGTAGGTAAGACGCTGGCTCGCTAGTCTGGGGGTCGGGTGTCGGATCCCTGCATTGGCCGAGAAGGTTTTCCGGCGTGGTTCTCCCTCGTCAGTGATGCACGGCGGGGGATCTGACAAGGGGAGCTGTCTAGTTGTTCGGATGGGACGAAAAACCGAGGTCCTGTGTACACATGGGCGTGCACGTAAAAGACCCCCTGGCAGTTGGAATTCGATATAAGAGTAGAATGTAGCGCAGCTTGATTTGGCAAAATTGCAGTCATAGCACATTGTAAAACGTATGACCTCCTGGGGATCACGTGGCTAAGTGGGTAGGACGCTGGCTCGCTAGTCTGGAGGTCGGGTGTTCGATCCCTGCATTGGCCGAGAAAGTTCATCCATATTTTCCGGCGTGGTTCCCCCTTGTCAGTGATGCAGGACGGATAGCCTGACAAAGACAGTTGTCTAGTCGTTCGGATGGGACTAAAACCCGAGGTCCCGTGTACATATTGGCGTGCACGTAAAAAATCCCTTGACAGTTGAAATTCGATATAAGAGTAGGCCGTAGTGCCGCTGTCCGGGAAAAATTTCCCTCCTAGCACACTGTATGGCGTATGTCCGTCTTCATTAGCCCAGTTCGGAGCAGAACATTAGGACGTTAAAACCCATTTATTTCATTTCATTTTGTATGACCTCCTTCATTAGTTCAATCGGAGTAGAACAGTGGGAAGTTAAACACCATTTTATTTAATTTTCGCTATGGGAATACCCGATATGTGATACAATACACAATAGTAACAGTGGCTGTTCTTGACCTCAAAAATCCGAGTCAGTTACTATAAATAAATGGGTTTTTCAATAATGGGGTTCTCTAAAAATGATTTCCCTTTTGTACAGCGCAGACTCGCCCCTTATCTAAGAACCACAAGCTCCCCGATATCGGTAGAAGACGGTTGTGTTATAGTTTAGATGATATAGCTGTGTTTATTGGCAATATGTCTGATCGCGTGAGTAGTATAGATATTATATAAGTTTGTATACATCATATAAAATATATTTAAATCTTTAACTGTTACATGTGATGTTTGATATTAATGTTTTAAATGTCATCTATGGGTATCCGATTCATCAGGTAGTTTCGAAATGACCTAATTATCGTGGAAATGATCTAAATATCGTGAAAATGGAAATGACCTAATTATCGTGGGAATGGAAATGATCTAATTATCGTGGAAATGCAGATGATCTAATTATCGTGAAAATGGAAATCATCTAATTATCGTGGAAATGGAAATGATCTAATTATCGTAGAAATGGAAATGACCTAATTATCGTGGAAATGGAAATGACCTAATTATCGTGGAGGAAGTGATCTAATTATCGTGAAAATGGAAGTGATCTAATTATCGTGAAAATGAAAATGGTCTAATTGTCGTAGAAATAGAAGTAGTCTTATGTTGGTAGATTGTTTAAACATATGATTCAAATCAATTATGTTTGTCATATATTGTCAAATGTTGCGAGAGAGTCGCCGTACTGGCCTTACGGCGACTCGCAACTTTCAAAAACAGGAGAGAAAAAAACAAAAACAAAAGAAGACACAAATAAAATCTAATAAAATATACAAGCGCTAATTTCACAATTACTGGTTCAAACAGGTTCGTGTTGTGGGAATTCCCGTTATTCAATACAAGTCTAACGTTTTGACCGCTTTCTTCACGTGACGAAAATGCATAATAACTGCTGCTATCAACCCCTTGACATTTCTCTTTATCCATATAATACTGACGTAATACATATAGTAGACTCTATTATCATATAAACACTTTTATAACTGTAACTGGGGGTCTCAACACTCTAGGCTACAATGAAACTGAAATAGTTACTATAAATAAATGGGTTTTTCCATGAGGGACTTCTATAAAATAAATACTTCCCGTTTGATTTGTGCAGCGTCGCCCAAGTTTTAGTGCCACAGAGCGAGCAGACATCGTTATAAGCCTGTAGTGTAGATAATTCAAGACGTGTTTAATAACCCAAATCACATTATAAATATGTCTAATCACGTGAGTACAACGTTATACACCAAATATAAATATCAATATTTAAAACTTGCTGTTTGTACATGTGGAGCAGATGATCTACTTTTATCAACTGTTTATTCGTCGAGTCACATTATTATATTAAATTATCTAAAACTGTTAATCTTGAAATAGTTTAATTATAACAGAAATACAAATGATTTGAGATATTGGTATTAATGATCGACAATATCATCTGTGACCAGAATTTTTATAAGAAGGGAGGAAACTCCATTTAAACACAATTTTGGATACAGACGGGTAATTCTTCTTATAAACGTCAATGTTCAATCCATGTCATTTCTTAATTTTTAACATTTTATTTTAACATTCCTTTCATCTTAATCTTTTATAATCTTTATAACAAAAAACCAAATATCTGATAGAAATATTGAAACAGGTTGATCATCTCGGTTTCTTTCTATGCTACGTCAAAGTAATCTGTTTGCAGTGACATAATATTCAATACATAAATAAATGTGTTTTTCAATAATAGGTTTCTCTAACAAACAAGACACGTGATTCAATGAAATACCTTATGGTCTAATGCGCTCCCATTAGACCCCCTGGCCCTACCCCCTGACCATACCCCTCAAATGTGAGGTAAGACTAAGGAAATTGCACCACATGACTACAGTAACTAAAAAACAAATCATATATTGGTCTCTATGTTTGAAAGTTTTGTGTTTTCTAATCTTTTTTAAAAATCTTTACCTACATACAAATTATCACCCCTGATTGATTAAATTTATAATATGACGTCAACAATTGAACAATGACGTAAACAGTAACTAGTTGAAACTAGTTCAAGTTGTGGAAATTCCCGTTATTTATTATGAATGTTTTTTCTCAATATCTGTTATCAATACAATATATAAAACCAGTCTAAATGTATTATGTACACATTATTTTTTTTTATAAAATGTTTTATGTATATATTATAATATATTATTCAGAACGTAACCAACAACAACCTGGCGTATACTATAAACAATACATACCATGTTAACGGTGATGAGGTGCAGATTGGAAATGGTAATGTATTCCACCAGAGAAATCAACTTCAATCAGAGGTGGTTGACCTGCGGGAAGAGGTGGGTGAATTAAAAGACCGAGTCAAACAATTGGAGGAAAGAATGGCCGCGTTAGAAAATAATAATGATGATACAAAGACTGAGGGATCAGAATATCAGATGGATGACGAGGAGGAGGAGGAAGAGGAGGAGGATATGATTACTCTGAAGCTCTATATGTAAGTATAAACTACATGTACATGTTTTATAGTATAATATATATTTACCGGTATCGCGATCGTTTGTATGTAAGTATAAAGTACATGTTTTATTTAACATGTATTTACCTGTATCTATTGAGGTAGGTATTATAATATAATATATATTTACCTGTATTTACAATAGTAGGTATAATATAATATATATTTACCTGTATTTACAGTGTTTGGTTTGGTAAGATGACTTTTAGTGTTAGTAGAGATAAAACTGTAAGTGAACTAGAATCTATGATACAGGAGGAGTGTAGAAGGAAGTATGGTAGAGATTGTGGTGTGAGTTGTATTACTAGTATCTACAGTGTAAAACAGAAGAAGTTCATCTACCAAAGTAACAACAACAAAGATCTATCATTTTCACATTACGGTGTAGGTGAGGGTGATATAGTCTGCTAGTGTTAGTTTGTTTGATTGTATTCAGTTTTAACTAATCAGATAGTTTGATTGTATTGATACCAAAGTATGCCTAGTTTGTATCATATTAGAATTTAAATGTTAAATGATATCGGCTTGGTATTAAAATTTAAATGTTAATTGACAATTTATATTGTATTGTATATAATTACACCTACTGTATTTAAAATAAACTATTATGTAAGGGTTCCTCATTCAAGACATTTTGAATCAGGGGAACAGAATGTACTAATTCATTGCAGGGTCGGATTGGGGCGGGAAATTTTGAAAAATGAACCCCAAATATGCGATTTGTTGGCATATCTGATTATAATCTCTGTCAAATAATATGTCTCATAAATCGATTAATTTAGGTCAAACCCCCGACCTCCAAGTAATTTACAACCATCAACCTATGAAATTATCATATCGTCATATTATTAATTGACCTATTATCATTGTATCGCCAAGAGTCAAGAGAATTTAACTGGTTAAAAAACTAGGTGAGAAATTTTTGACCATTTGATTAACCAATTAGGAATATTGAATAAGTAGGAATTTTTTCATTGAAAATGTCCCATTTTTGTTGCCGGGAGCGCTAGTTGATTTTTCCTGAAAGAGACCATTCTGGCGTATCCCCACAAACATGGTGCAGGTGACTTAATAATTAGTAAATTCGCGGCCGACAGCGTCGGGTGAATGCGATGAAATTTTCGGATGAAATATCCTGTTGTTACCAAAACCTCTAAAACCTGTTTAAAAAATCTTAATAATCTATATCTTCTGACTCGGGGAACAACCCACGTAAAATCTTAATGGTGTGATAATTTATACCTTCTGACTCGATTAATAACCCATGTAAAATCTTAATGGTAGGATAACTTATACCTTCTGACTCTGATAACAACCAGTGTAAAGTCTATATGGGGGGATAACTTATACCTTCTGACTCTGATAACAACCAGTGTAAAGTCTATATGGGGGGGATAACTTATACCTTCTGACTTTGATAACAACCAGTGTAAAGTCTGTATGGGGGGGGGGGAACTGATGTAACAACCTATATATGTAAAATCGTAATGAGTACGACAAGGTTCGGATTAACGACGGGGACGCTGACTGGGCTACAGGCAGGGGTCTCAATACAACCTTAATCAGCGGATGAGTATTGGAACAACACAAAAATATGTCCACATTAAAGATGGGCGTTGATAAACATCATTTCATGTTTCATGGTTTTGAGGAAATAGAAAAAATACAAAACACGTTTATTTTAGCACTTCTCGTACTTAAATACGACGCCATTTTTATTAAATGAATAGTTAGGGATGACGTCACGTGATGATCGCCGCCATTTTCCTTCCTTTTCTAATTTAGCCATCAGCGGTTCTAGTTTATTTTTATAATCTTCAACATATGATAAATATTCTTCTCTCATCACTATACAAACTAGCCCACCTGGAATATAGATATACTGATCACTATACAAACTAGCCCACCTGGAATATAGATATATACACATCACTATATAAACTATGGCCACCTGGAATATAGATATATACTCATCACATACAAACTAACCCACCTGGAATATAGATATATACTCATCACTATACAAACTATGGCCACCTGGAATATAGATGAACATACCAGAGTTGCCCCCCCCCCCCCCAACACCTTACTATAAACATGGACCTATATGATATCAGACAAAAACAGGAGCTGGGACACCTGGTGTGGCCGTTTATTGATAGGTAGAACCGCTTCTCTACTTCGGAAGTTCCGTACACATGCGCTGAATGCAATGGTATGTGCGATCCTTCGGCAAACCTCGGCAGACACCTGTACCCTACAACTAGCTACACCCATGTGATGCGTCTGCCGGGTTACTATTATGAAGACTTGCAACTTTTAGAAGGAAGATCTCAAAACTGCGAAGTACGAAGACATTCGGCAAATCTCGGCTGATTCCAATACCCTACATCTAACTTCGGCATTAGTTCCTCCTGGTCAGTTAGTTCCTCCAGGAGTCAAGAAATCGCCATCTGAACACATCACATGGCAGGGGTTGGATCATAACACGCCTAGTAGTCATAAACGGCGCATTGCTGTCATTAACGGTTCATATTTCGGTCAAAAGCGGCTGTTTTGGGTGTATGATTTGGCTCATTAACGGCTGATATTTCGGTCAAGAACGGCTTATTCCGGTGATTAAACATCGTATAGAGGAAACATCACAGACCTTGTGATACAATGCGCATGTGCTAACCATTCGGCCATCCAACCCCGCCACCATATAGAGGAAACACCACAGACGGTAAAAGTGGAGAAAATCAAAACGGTGTGAATTACCTGGTTTAACTACACGGATCATCTCATGGAGACCTGAACATGGTATATGACCTTCACCCATTCCACCAGATACAACACAACAATCATAGTCATCTAAAAATACATCATAACTAAATATTACACAACAGTCATATTCATCTAAAAATACATCATGTAACAAAATATTATACAACAAATATACATCTAAAAATACATCATCTATATATATATATTTGTGACTGTCGTTTGTCTGTCTGTCTGTCTGTCTGTTCGGGGTTGGCGGCTACACTAGGTCTGCCCCGAGTCTGAAATTTGGGGTATAGGGGTAGCTTGGACCGGGGAGTAACATGGGCTAGGTGGCGTTAGTCTACCACTTCCGGTTTTGGAGTTATGACCCCCGAGCGAAGCCGGTCTGTTCGGGGTTGGCGGCTACACTAGGTCTGCCCCGAGTCTGAAATTTGGGGGATAGGGGTAGTTGGGACCGGGGAGTAACATAGGCCAAATGGCGTTAGTCTACCACTTCCGGTTTCGGAGTTATGACCCCCGAGCGAAGTCTGTCTGTTCGGGGTTGGCGGCTACATCTGCCCCGAGTCTGAAATTTGGGGTATAGGGGTAGCTCGGACCAGGGAGTAACATAGGCCAGGTGGCGTCAGTCTACCACTTCCGGTTTCGGAGTTATGACCCCCGGGCGAAGTCTGTCTGTTCGGGGTTGGCGGCTACACTAGGTTTGCCCCGAGTCTGAAATTTGGGGTATAGGGGAAACTCGGACCGGGGAGTAACATAGGCCAGGTGGCGTTAGTCTACCACTTCCGGTTTCGGAGTATGACCCCCGAGCGAAGCCGGTCTGTTCGGGGTTGGCGGCTACACTAGGTCTGCCCCGAGTCTGAAATTTGGGGTATAGGGGTAGCTTGGACCGGGGAGTAACATAGGCCAGGTGGTGTTAGTCTACCACTTCCGGTTTCGGAGTTATGACCCACGAGCGAAGCAGGGTATCCTGCTAGTAACTAAATATTATACAACAGTCATATTCATCTAAAAAATAGACAACAATGATTCATGCTGTTTAACAGGGATGTTCAATCATTCCGGGTCAAGTCACCCAATGAGGTCAACCGTACCCCCTTCGATTTTGGTGATGATTGGTTTATATGCTGATTCTGACTGTTAAACCTGATACAATTTTGACGAAATCGCGCCAGTCTTTCTTATTTATGGGGAGATTGAAAAGGTATTACAGATATAATAGGTTGTTAGTGTGCGTTAGAGAAGATTTTGCCCAGACATCGAATTGTTCTTTTATGTACACGCCAACGTTTACACGGTACTTCGGTTTTTACGCCTTATTTACTGCGCCATGTTGAATTCATTGATTGTTTACACATGCCAATCTCGATTATATTTTGGGAGAAAAACACTGCTTAATATTGTGTTAAAAGCCCCTAAAATCATATACCTTAGGACAGGTTAACTAATTCAATATACGTGATAAGTTTTCAAACTTTAACCAGTCAGTCTTCATCTGTCCCAAGCTGTATTATACGGTGTCTGAAACCAGACTTTTATTTTATAACAATAACGTGTAGGTGAAATTTACCTTTCGTCATCACATGGGTCATTCACTGTATAGACCTCTAAAAGAACGGCAATCGATTATCAGGTGACCCAACGGAAAAATTGAGGCTAAATCTTTAAAGGGTTACGTATCCGAATAAGCAGTTTTGACGTTCATCTCCAAACGACTCAGTTTTTGTAAGGGGGGGGGGGGGGTATTTTCAAACCAGACTCTATCCACTCGGACATCAAACTTACGGTCGGCCAGGTTAGGATGACCGTGGCCGTATATAAACTAGAGGGACATCTAAAATATTATAATTATACCTTCAGGAATCGATACATTTCCACCATTTAGAAAATCACAGATATATTTTCTGTACAAGTCTTTAGTTTTAGCAATTTCCAGCATCCCTTCTGATGGATCCAGCGCATCTATAATCTTAAATCCATATTTTAATAACTGAAAGTTAAAAAATAACAATGAATGAATGCATAAAAAATAAGAATGAATGAATTAATGAAATGGATTTTTATTTAACGTCCCACTGTTACATATAGAGTGTGCTAGGCGGGAAGTTTTGCCCGCACAGCAATTTAATTCCTTCTGTAATGGGATCTTTTACGTGCAGGTCAGGGGGTACACGGAACTCGTTTTTTTACCCGTTTGAACGACCAGGTGTTGTTCCGAAAAAATCCCAGGAACATTTCTGGTCAACACTGTGACCTCTAGGTTAGATAGATGGGTACCCTGTTGATCACAAGACGTGTTATCTATGTTACCCTGTTGATCACAAGGCATGTATGGTACTCTGTTGATCACAAGGCATACTATATATGGTACCCTGTTGATTACAAGGGTATCTACGGTACCCTGTTGATCACAAGGCATGCTATCTATGGAACCCTGTTGATCACAAGGCATGCTATCTATAGTACCCTGTTGATCACCAGGCATACTATCTATGGTACCCTATTGATCATAAGTTATCTTTATAGCACGGCTTTCATGGGGTAACAGGAATAACCATAGTGACAGTAGGCCGAGGTGTTAAACCTGTTAACGAATGAAGCGTGCTATAAATGACTTGTAACAATGACACCTGTTCAACATGCTCGTTGTTATTGCACAAATAACCCAGAAATATCTGATCAGGTACATATTATTTTACTAATTAGACGAAATAAGTAAACCACTGTGTACTTTTGCTCTAAAAATAAGAAACAAAACAACTGCCTTACCCCAAACAATAACAAGTCTAAGAACACCAACCAATTATATGTTGTTGACATAACATCAATGGACATAACTACTTCACAAGATGGTGAATATTTTGAAGTGAAACATACTTATTTGATGGAGAGAACAACAGTTTTATTGCTGCTTTGGATATATTTTGGAACGATAATACTAGACTTTATAATACTAGAAATTATTTGGTGTTTCCACGCTGCTGTATTTCAAGAAATACGAAAAAAAATGTTGGCGTTGCGGATTTGTTATTGTTTGGTAAAGCAGTTTTCTCATATTTTTAGAGCAAAAGTACACCATAGTTTACTTATTTCGTCTAATTAGTAAAATAATATGTACCTGATCAGACATAATAATTGTGTAGCAATAATATTTTCAGTAAACTGATAGTGAAAAAACGTCAATCAGTCAGCTGAAATATTGCTAGCCGGATGTGGACAGTGTGGATGACAAGTAGTGAACTAGATGCGGGCGTGGCCTGCCTCTGTTTTTGTATGCCGTACAATCGTCATGATTGTTCTACAACTTGAAAACAAGTATGGCGATTATTTTGGGCGTTATTTTTTTTATTTAATTATTTCTGTAGTTTTGTAATTGGAGTTCAGCTTTAAGCCCCAGCCAGTCTGCTAGAGGGAAATAATTTGCTTATTTTACAAAAATAACAAAGAAAGATTTCCCGTCCATGTTACAAGATATTATGTTATCTATGTAAGTCATCAGTTCAATTAAATACTTGTTTTGACAAGGAGTAAAGTTACCTGTCCAATACTGTGGATTTTTGTCCAGATTCTATATTTCAGTTCCGTTGCTAAATTGCCTGTGCGCGAACTAAGTATTGAAATTACACCTCAATTTATCTGCCGCCCTCCGTCGCTAACAACAGGCGTACCCAGTTACACCGCAATTAATCCACCTCAATTAAACATGCATTATGCAAGTGCTAAATCTGATTATTGCAAGTCTTAATTTAGGCTTCAGATGTTATAGAAATTATAAATTAGATCTTTATTTAAACAACAAGACCAAAATCAACTCTGTAGACCCACGGATGGCTCGGCTACAGCTCGGATTTAAATAGGATTTCACTAATTGATTAAATCAAATAAGGGATAACCTGATGAAAATACGTCAGTTAGATCGAGGCTAAATGATAGAGTGTACTTATCGAGGCCGCTGTAAAGCGTTTCGGTATGCCATTGAAAACTTTACTTGATAATCGAGATATGTAGGTGGAGTTAATGCCTGTCAATCACGATCAGCGGAGGTGAAGACATAATTCGCTACTATTTCTAGGCAAATATTACAACGATGATACCTATGTTCAGAATAAAGTAATTTGACTAAATTTTTCAATATATTCTTCTTTCATCATCTACTTTTGAACTGTTATAGCAAGAATGGCTAACTCTCTATAAAAATCTCCCATAATATATCTTTAATCAACCGCCGTTCCGCCCCTCGAGTTACACCTCAATAAATCTGCCGCCTTCCGTACCTCAAATTACACATCGTCACTCCAGTAATACACCTTAATTAATCAACCGCCCTTCCGCCTTTCAAGTTACACCTCGATTAATCCTTGGACCCTTCTGTACCCCTCATGATGCATCTCAATATAGTCAATACTTAGATTGCAATGGGAGAATTCATTCGTGTTTTGAATCAAATCAGTATTTTATAATACCCACCTCTTCCGCCACATATCCTGTTCCAGCAGCTATATCTAATATACTTATATTATCTCTGTTAGTTGGGTAGTGTTTCGCCAATGCAGCACCAGCAACTATAGGTCCATTGTAGATTTTACCTTTTGATAAATCCTGGAACAGTATAAAAGTTTCATGTGATTCTCAAACTTAGATAGAGAGCTGGTCGTTATTGCTATAATACTTTTACAAAATAGATAATGAAAAACCAATTTGTTGAAAATTTGCTGTCAAATTTCTTTATTCTGTACAAGTTATGAATATATGAAGTTTTGGTAAGGAATTGTTTCGATTGTCAAGTACCGTTGCTCTGTTACTATACGTTTAGTCTTGATTTTCCATTTTAACATGAAACAACCATATGGAAGACATTTTCTAATCCACTTAATATCTCAACCATTCGGTGGCCTGGGGAGTTTTATTTATGGTGCAAGACAAAATAGGTAGACACAGTTCTTAAATAATGCAGCTTTCCATTTTCTCCCTGTTTTGGATTAAGTTGAACAATCATACGCGACTTCGTGTTCAGCACCAGAAAGCTTGGACCTTGGTTGCACAGAAGCTCGGGGTGAACTACTACAATTCCAATGGTATATAAATAGGTACAAAACTATACAATGTTTAATAGCCATGTAAATTCACTTCAAAGGAAGCAAGAGATATCTTGCTCTTTCTAATTTAAATATGATCTAACCTGATCGTATGTACCCGTTCTCGCCCAATTTGTGTAATAATTGGCAGACTCTTCTCTCGTGATCCCCACTTTATGGGCCCCGTAATTTATATTATACGATTGTTTCGCCACTTCATCATCCACTGCCGTGACAAAATCCTTCAGTTTATCTTCAGCCATTCTGTAATATACAGAGATAGAAAGACATTTATTTCTGTTAAAATGCTGGGGGGGGGGGTAGTGAAAACATTAGCCGAAATAAAAGATTAATTGGATGGATTATTACCGCTTTTTTGTGTCTTTACCCGTCGGTAAACAAATTATTTGTGTTGCGACCTGGCTAGACAAAACATCTGGGGTGTTCAAATCTGAGAAAAATAGTCCATCTTATCGTCTAGATAGCATGCTAACACTGCAATGTATCTTTAATATTAGAAAAATATCAGAATGCTGGGCTATCAGTAAGATAATCTAGATAGCATGCTTACACTGTAATATATCAGTAAGTTAATCTAGTGTTTATAATTATAGATCACTATTTTAATTCCACATAGAACACTGTGTCTGACAGCCATATACCGTTAATGGTGTATTAAAGGTCAATGCCTATTCTCCACCAATCGAGACTGACAATACCAATCGTTAACTGCAACACAAACAATTTCTAGTTGTCAAAATAGTTACCCCCCTACCACCTAAAATGGTGTGGGTGTGGGTTTGTGGAATGGGGGGAGGGGGGCTTGTGCAGGGATGGATCCAGATAGCGGGGTCCACCCCCACCCAGCTACATAAAAAAAGTGACACGGCGGGATGGGATGGACATTCAAAGCGCGATATAATGATATAGACATATGTAATGTCACAATTAATGCTTTACATCAATGAAATTGAAGCACAGTGTCATCGTATTAATTCATAATAAAAATTGACGTCAAACTGGGTGTTGGATTTCTCTCTTTAAAAAGTTCAGTGAGTATGTATGACTACGTAATTTGGAGACGATGCTGGCATTATCTACTGTCAAATTTCCTCAACAGGAACCTAGCAAACTCCTGCATAAACTCCTGGATCTGCTCCTGGTGTGTGTGTATGAATGTTTGTAACTGCCACTGGGTGTGGGAGAATTGGTGGAAGAGGCACAGCGCAAAATATTCTAGCACCAACCATGTGTTTTATACACACTTGCGCCAACTACATTTTATTAAAACTACTACAGATTTTGTCGATTTGGATAAAGAAAACAAGTCTTCTTTGAAACCATACAGATAAGGACGATACTGCATTCACTGTCGACACAGTAAACCAACTTGCTTCAATGGCACCAAGAAACTAAGGACCAAGATTTCAAATATTTCGATACATTCACAAAGCTTTCGATAAATCGATGACTTAAGAAGTAAAGAAAAGTCAAATAGGAATTTGTAGACAGCACGGGTAGGCAGCAATGCTCTCATAAATGCAAAAACAAAAGAAAACGGAAATAGTTGATAACCCTCGAATCTAGGAACTCAGATGGAACCTCTCTGGAATATAATAGAAGTCTGCTTGAAAGTTTCAAATAGATATCTTATATAGCACTCACGTATATCACGCATAACAAAGCGTGTTCATAGCCCTGAACTTGTGCAATTAACAAAATGATTGGTTACTTTGAGCCAAATGATGCAATTGGAATAATTCCACTCATTTGTAATCTTGTGGTATTTTATTGACACATATACTAGCTATGTTTTGGCTCTATAACTCTTTTAGCTAGTATTGTAATCTGTGCTTGTATCCATGTATTCAGCTATGCTATATAAAATGTAGAAGCGAACTGTTGCATTGTTATTCCTGGTAAGACAAACGTCTTAAGAAACCTGTAAGAAGTAAATACACAACGTGAAGCAGAAGTAAAGACAGCTAGAGACAAATTCTAGACGATCACAAGGCTACAGAAATATGTAGTAAGAAAAGATGCATGGGTTGTATGTAAGATGTGGCGATCGGTTTTTAGGATCGCCCGCTTTCCATGTCAGACAGAAAGGCCCATGGTGCTACAGTGGAAATATACTATGTAAGTTGATATTTTAGTCTGAGTGGTAGTTTTTTTTATACGGCTGAACACAGTTTTATTGATAGGCCTAATCAGTGTGAATTTTGTCTTTACTGCTGGAATAGGCCACTTAATAAAAATTAGAACCAGGGGTATCCTCTTAACTATAGGAGAGATGTCTTTATTTATTTGTTTTTTAATAAAACAAACAAATATTCTGAACAGGCATTGCGTCAGGAATAGAACTTTTATTTCATGTCAAAACACTACCGTAATTAATAGATTAGATAGTGACATTATCATGCAATAAAATATTGAATATCTGTTAGTTGTTTTGGCTAATGATTTTGTATAGCCTTTTTTTCATTTCCCAATGGCAATTCCTGACATTTACAGCTTTTACGTCACCAGAAAGCGCCCATATATAGTACTTAAATTAGTTAGGCCTACATAAAAGACCGAAACTATAATATTTACAGCAAGTAATATTTAGGATTCATTCTTTGATTACATTGGAAAATACATTTTCAGAATGCTGCTTTTTAGTCATTTTAATACCCATTTAAACTAAATAGGAAATAATTTTTACCTACAAATACGTAAAACGCCTTTATTTATTTTTTTTCCAATACATAAAAAAAATGTTTTAAAATTTAATTTGTCGCAGGAAAAAAGTTAATATTTCTGGCTCATTAAGTCGCATCGATGTCATCTTTTTATCAGTGGTTGTAGCGGCCTAGCGAAAATTCACTCCTGATCAGTGTGTCTATCAGATCTCCTTAAATTAGTTTGTGTTGGTCTCATGTTTGTAAATTCTGAGATATAAAATAAATACAGTTTTTTATGACCATGTTCCATTAAAAAGAAAATAATGGGTACACGTTCACATACGAAATTCCTAAGAGGATCAAAAAGAAACGTAAATATTTTTCTATCCATGTTCCAGCATGTAGATCTTACTAAACAGCAATGTCAAAAGGGATGAAAACACAGATTTCTGCACTTACACAATGGTAGTACATGTATATAACACATAGACGGATTCAAACTTTGTAAAATGAAAGTTATAGCGGGAGGTGGCCGTTGCTGGGTCCAGAGGGAGAGCCTAATCTCGGGGTTCTAAGGAATTAGAGGTTGTATTTAATATTTTGACATAGGTTCAAAAAATATCCAGGCAAATTTCTCCCAAGAACCATGTAATTGTCCAGATCTTCATCGAAATATCACCTTTGATGGTTCTCTCCATTCCCCCAATTCAAAAAGTTTCCATGGAAAATAACATAGGTTGTTCTCAAAAAAACTCGGCGACATCGGAAAAGTGAACTGAATGTCAATTTATAAAACGTAAAAAAAAGTCACTTTTTCTTACCTTTTGTAAACATATTTTTTCCAGCCTTAGAAATTTAGTTTTACACCCGACATATCGTCTAAAACTTGTCTTCTATCATTAATTGTGCCGTCCCTGCTTCTATAATTCATGTATAATTTTATTACTCTCCGATAATATCGCTTAGATAATATAGTGAAATTCTTCGTGTTGTTATTCGTAAAGAATATTGGTGTAACGCTGTTTTTCTGACGGTTTTAATTTCTCCCACGGCATAATTACAGATAGCGTGTTCCTCGTGTGTCAAATGTCCGGTAAAACTTGCTAATTCTGTTAAAATCCCATTTTCGTCCGGGTATTTAATATTCAATCGAACTAAATGAGTTGTATCCGTGTCATTTCACAGACAACCCTGACACGACGCAGGTGTTCTGTTTGTCGAAGCTATTTTACTTTCGTTTGATTGTTTACAAGCCGAGTTTCCGGTACAAACGTAGTGCTCAGACCTCAGGACATGTCACCATATATAACAATGGTTTTGTGTTGTTAGACTCAAATTCCTGATTAGAAGTTCGCTTCCCTTTCGTATCCATTTTCACCAATTGTTGGGCTATATAACCACGTGTTTACTGACAGTTAGAAGAGACGGGGGAGGGGAGGCAGGACGACGTGAGAGACGATCGGGGAGGAGCGTAGAGCAGCCTTTGGGGTTCAGCCGCTGTCGTGGCAGAAGGAGGGACGGAGGGAGGGGGGGATGGTTATCTTAAACTATCCATGTACTGTGTTGATGTTATTGTTTATGTTACTTATGTAGTTTAATTTATTTTCCTGTTTAATTTATGTAGCTGTTTTATATTTATGTGCACTGTGGCCCTATCAACTACGCACTAAGTTTCATAACTCTCTATCAGATAGAATCAAAGTTATCTTGTCCCAAACCACCAACCATTGAAATTGCCTAGCTCTGCTTAACTTTAGTGGGAAATGGTAATCAAGACATTCACCTAATGAACATCTACATCATGTTTAAACATTCTACCTCAATCAAAAGCAGAGATGTTATGTTCCAAAATCTTGACCAATCGAATCGTTTATTGAACCTTAGCCTAAGCAGAATATTCTCATCATCGAACTTGGTCAAGGAACTGATACAAACAATTATAGAGATTGGTTACTCAAGTCACATGATGCAATTAGTAAATTTTCAATCACGTGTTAAACATGATATTCTCATTCCCACGGAACCAGCTAATGTTTACCCAATTATATTCTCTTTTATATAACAATCTGTCACTTATTCACTTAGTTTGATTTAATTAATATAATGCTACTAACTAAAAGAGCAAAATTCTAGCAATAATCTGACACTGGGCCGAGATTGTGGATTGCTTCGAAAACAAAAGTTAATAACATGAAATTTATTCGAGCACGAATTGGAAGACAATTTAAGCTCTTAAGAATGGGAGTAATATGTTCACGGATATTTGTGTGAATGATAATGTAGGCGATCAAGCTGTTGGGGATTTACGCCGTAAAGGAGACTATTACAGTAGTCCAATCTAGAGATGACAACTGAATCAAACGTTTCGTGGAGTCCATATATCGATATATTCCCATTTTGGCAAATATTTCGTATTTGAAAGTAAGCAATTCTGCAAACATTTCTCACATGTGTTTCTAAATTAAATACAACACCAAGGTTTCGCGCGCTTGTGTTGGGATCGGTTGTTGAGTCACACACAGTTAGTTCAAACTGTTCTAATTTTGGACATATTATTATAAAGTCAGTCTTGTCTTCGTTGGGTTTCAAGAGATCACTGGTCATCCAGCACTTAATATCTTCAATACTTCTTGAAAGTGAATTGAAAACATTTTGGTTGTTTGCGTTCAGTGGACGGAATCCCAAATACAGTTGGGTATCATCTGCCTAGAATATATAATCCCCAGAATATACCCGTATAATTATATATATATATAGAGAGAAATGGGGTTTAACGTCCACTTGTCACAAACTAGGTCATTTCGGGACTAACATATGGTTTAATTTTATTTCAATAATTCGCTTGCGCGTAGGGGTCTTTAGCAGTGGGAGGAAACCGGAGGACCCGGAGAAAACCCACGAGGTTGGACCGTATAATTATAAGAGCCCTAGTGACACTTTAAACCAATAAGAGCTCCATGCTAGCTTAATCCGGCCACTGATGTCTTCCAGATTAGATTTCACAGTCGGATTAATATTTCCATAATATTTAGAATCAATTAATCTGTCTTTGTTTTATTTATTTATTTCGACAATCTCACTGCTTAGAAATTGCGATGAGAGCAGCCTAGATCAGTGGATTTACAATTCATCATATCTTTGTAAATACTGAACGGACTTGAACCATTGTTTGACTGACATTAATTTTAGACATTTAACTTTAACAATATTGTAGTTTGCAGGTATTCCTATATAGCGCTCAAATCACGGTTAAAATCTTTCATATTTTATTCAATGATGCTACAATACTAACGCAAATTTGTATCTTATATGTGAAAACATTCATCTTTATCTGACAAGTTTATTAAATTTAATTTGATTTGATATGAAGATGAATAGCAGTATAATACGAGTACATGTCCCCAATTGTAAATTTGGTAGTTAACTTTATGTCGGATATACTAGGGTATATGCCAGATCATTTCAGAAGTTTTCTTAAAAACATCGTATTTATTATGGTGCAAGAGCAATACGTATTTAAGAGAACTCTATATATAACTTACCTCGTCCGTCAACTTTCACAATGTCCATCAAATAAAATGGTATTGTAAATGTAAGGCTTCAAAATCAATAATATATATATATATATATATATATATATATATATATATATATATATATATATGTGGATGAAACCAATGGCGTGTTAGCGAGGGCGGGGACAAAAAGGATCGAGGGAGTGGTAGACCCCCTCCTACATTTTTGACCACGAAATGGTGTTTTTTCTATTAGTGGTTAACATCCGCTTCCACACAGGGTGATATCGCACGCACAAGGACCTTTCCTGTGGGAGGAAACTTGAGTACTCGGAGTAAATCCACGAGATTGAGAAAGCGCCCCTGTCTAGTGGTCGCTAGGGATACTATTGTATACAACGTTACGTTAACATTTACCATGACTCTGCATTAGAGGCCTGAACAAAATCTTTCCTATTATGTTTTGTTTTTTGGTTTTTTAATGACATTGGTATGGGGGACGAGGGTCATTCCCAGCAACTAACACACAGTAAAACGTTGTTCAATCGTTGAAGAATGATTTGATCCCCTAGTGTCTCAGATTCCTTTAAGATACGTTATGTAAGAGCTAAATCTTCCTATTGCAGGTCTTTATTTTGGCCTCAAATGTTATATGAATTATTAATTAAATATTTATAAACATCAGCTCTCTAGATCATTGGATGTTCGCGATTTAAATGGATTGAATCAAGATCTTCATTTAATCTAACCAGCGGCTGTCAGGCAGGATACGCCCACATTTTGTAATAGATGGATAGAGAACAAGCTAAAAACAAAAACGATTTTTTGTACAATCAGGGGCTATAATCCAGAAAGTTATGGTCTGAAATGCGCAAATATCAAAAAGGTCTGAGATTTTTGGAATGTAAAGATATGTTTTAAGTTTCATCAAAATGGGATAAAAATTGTGACCTCTAGAGGGTCCATAACCGTTGTATTACATACTTACATACACAATTTGCTTACAAAGAGCGGCCATTTTGTCGGGCAGTTTCATTTCGATTTTCCCGAAATTCAAATTCAACCTTCATTCTGGTGGAATCGTGATATATCTAAACAGTTTTTAAAATCGGAAAAAAATTGTGACCTCTAGACTCCACAAGATAAAAATGCGATTTTTCATCCAATCAGGGGCCGTCATAATCCAGAAGTTATGTTCGGATATATCTGATTATCAAAGGAACAAACATCTTTAAATGCGAAGAGGTGTTGTGTCATGGAAACAGCTTTGTTAAAAACAGTTATCTATTACAGTGGGGAAACCTTTAATATCATCTGTCTCACCCCTACTGGACGGTGTTGAACATAAAGACACAGCTGTCATCAAAGGACATCATATTTCCTTTTAAACAAAACTAGGTCATTTCGGGACTTGTAGCGCCACTGCCGGGGCAGAATTACCCTCAGGAAATCTAACTCAAGGGTGGTTTTTGTTTGTAATTCTGTGTATATACAATCTATATTTGGAAACTAGATAATACCTATTTAATACTTTATGTTTTCCGCATATTTGATTTCCAACCATCAAAGGCCCTGTTACACCAATGTCAGTGTGTACATGAATGGACCCTGGTTTATCGTGCCACCGAAACGACAAGACATCATTTATCATGCCACCCAAACGACTAGGCATCCTATATCATACCACCCAAACGAATAGACACCCAATAACGGAAGATGATATTGCAGTCTTATTGGAACTTTGTTTTTCGTACCACCCAAACGACTAGACACTATATAACGGAGGATAATATTGAAGTCTTACTGGACCTTGGATTATCGTATCACCCAAACGACTACACATCCTCTATCGTACCAACCAAACGACTAGACGGCCTATATCGTACCACCCAAACGAATAGATAACGGAAGATGATAATGCAGTCTTACTGACATTTGGTTTATCGTACCACCCAAACGACTAGATACCTATAACGGGGAATGATATTGCAGTCTTACTGAATCGTGATTACAACTCATTTATGGTGTTGTTTTTGAATATGCCTTCTCAGGATTACCACTGTTTACGATATCATCTCCATCAGATCAGTTTATTTGTCAATTCTCTATAAACTTACACAATCCATATTCTTCATTATTTGTCAGTTCTCTATAAACTTACACCATCCCCATTCTTCATTATTTGTCAGTTCTCTATAAACTTACAATATCCATATTCTTCATTATTTTCTATCCTTTACACTATAAACCTCAGAATGCCTCGTTCGGCATTTCTGTCCAAACGAGGCAAAAACGTGTCAAAACTTTTGCCCCCGATTTTGCCTCGTTGTAACGAGGTAAAAAAAATACCTCGTTTCTCTGGAGTTCCAAAACGTGTTTTTTTAAATTGCCCTGTTTTTGGAACGAGGCTGGGTAAAATTGCCTCGTTTACTAAACGAGGTATTTTATCCAAGATAACTATTAGCGGTATTTGCTGTCAACAAATGGACTCAGACTAGCAATTATTTGCCCATTGACTTCAATGTTAAATGGCTGTAACATCACAGGCTGTAGCTTTTTTCTCAACATTCCGTTGGTTCCAATCTTTATAGGCACAATGGGGACAACATTTGGCAATCTCCTCATCATAATTTTGTAGGGGGTTGACCATTTAGATTTTTTGCTACACGGATTTGAAGTTGACTGGGGTGAAAATCTCACTTCCGACACAATGACTGCTCTGCAGAAAGACACTTTACACCCCCTATCCCTCCGCTGTAATATCATCAGTATTACCCAAAACTGCTATGAAATTGCAAATTTGATCCCTTTTCTCCAATTCTAGACCAAAAAGTCAACCCAAAAATGCAGGAAGAGGGGAGAAAAAAATTAAGGGAAAAATTGTCTATTTATAACTCGCACTACATTCGTCCATCATGAAATAAAGGGAAATAATTACTAGTCTTAGTCCTATATACCTCACATGTTTCTGCAGTTTAAACAAATCTGTTGTTATCTAATAAACAAACATATATGCAATTCCCTGGCCAAAGATTATGAAAATCTATGCATTTTCAGATGAGCTGTGCAGCATTCTGCAAACACTACAATACATCAGAAAACTGCGGAATTTCAGACAGAAATTTAAAAGCACATGAATTTTGAATTAAACAGAACATTTTTATTTTTGAACATAAATGCATTCTGTAAAAAGATAACAAAAATTCAATATAAATCAAACAAGAAAATCCTTTAAAACAGTAATTATCATGTAATATTAGATTTTTTTAACATTTTCGTCGAAAAGATCTTAGTTTTTCTCTCTTAACGAAGTTTCAAGAGCCAAATTGTGGTCAAATCTAAGATGTTGAAACATGCAGTGCCTATAAATTTTAAAATGTCTCCTACATAGCTGTATTTACATAGGACAATTAAGTTCAGATAATCTGATTATGTAACCCTACAACAGTTTTATGATCCCCACCCCCTAGTATGGAATCTGATACATGGCTGACCAATCATAGTTCTCACTCTCCATTCTGGTCTGTCAAATGATTTACAATGTTGATGGTACCTACAACTTTCCTGACCCAGAGATATGCACAACAGTCAACATACAAGCCATTTATGTTATCTTCCAATATGAGAGGCCATAATAAACGCAAGGCTGTCTTTTTCAAGCTCGGACATGAAGTCAACACTAAACAGCAACGTTTACAGGGGTCCTCGGCTGGAACCCAAACTGATTATGATTTGCCCTCAACTTCCACAGGTGTCACAGAGATCAGGGATGAAATTCATATGCATCATCTTTCTACTAATGCCAGTCCGGGAAGTCATCGGGTTTTGAGATGTAGACCTGAAATGTTAAATTTGGATGAGACTGAGAATTCTGAGGCGAATACTATCCAGGGAAACAGGATTATAGACATCCAGAAAATGATTGAAATGTGGGGAATTCTGTCATTCGGTTACATGCCCAGGGGAGAAGAAAGGCCTGTGCAGTACCAAATTTCCAGCCTGTTAGTGAGCAGAAGTGGGGAGCGGGTTGGATGTACTCTGTAAAGTGTACAAAATGTACATTTATCTCACCTGTCTACAAGTTGTATAAAGAGATTCCAACTGGCAAACCAGGAAGAAAGGCAGCCGCTATTAATCTGACCCTACAATCTGGACTGTTAGATATGCCGGTTGGAAACACCAGAGCTCGGCTGCTGTTGACAGATTTGGATATTCCACCGCCCTCTCGCAGTGGCATGCAGACTCTTTCTAACCAAGTTAGTGCTAAAATGACAAGGTTGAACACTATTAACATGAGGGAAAAAATAGAAGCAGTCAAATCTTTTAATCAGAAGGGAGGGTCAGTAAACCCAAATATAATAAATGTTGCAGTGGATGGGCCTTACAACAGCATAACCATAGGCCACAGTAAAAAGCCAGGGCAAGCAGCCTCGCAAGCCATTGGAATTGCATGCGAGACAAACACAAAGCACAAATATATCCTGAGTGCTGTGATGCAAAATAAACTGTGCTGGCAAGGTGCCTGGCTTAAGGGAAAAGGTTTTACTGTCAACTGCCCTGGGGGACATGAAGGCTGTACTGCAAATTTACCAGTTCACGCACCATTATCTGAGTATGACATGGGGAAAAGCATTGGCACAGAACTAGCTCTCCAAAACGTCCTCATCAAATATGCAACAACAGATGGAGATGGACGATCAGCTGCTGGAATTGAAGATAGTTTAAAAATTTTGCATCCGATGTGGAGTGTGGAGCGACTAGCTGACCCTTCACACCTGGCTGCCACTCAATTTAGGCACTGCTATTATGCAAAATTCAGCGAGGAGATGTTTCCTGGTAAAACCAGACTGGATAAGGGCAAGATCACGAAAATACTGAGCCAAGATGTAAAAGCTAGATGCAGTCTAATCATGACTACATTGTTTGAAAATCACTGTGGTAATACTGAGGAGATGAGAAAACGCCTACCAAAAGTCCTAGAGTCCACTATCATGTGTTACGATGGCGACTGCTCAAAGTGCCGCCTTCATTCTGTTGTGTGCCGGGGTGGGATAACAAATAACTGGTGGAACCGTTCCATGTATCTGGCCTCAAATAAAGTTGATTCCCTGAAAATGAATGAAAATGACAAATCAATTCTAAGTGAAATTTTAAAAATCCGAATAAGTGAAGCAGCTTTAGAAAAAACCAAATTCCAAACAAATACACAGAAATGTGAAGCAATCAACCGCTCGTTGAGTGTTTCACTTCCAAAGAATGTAAATTACGGAAGAAATGCGATGGGTAGACTTTCCTCAACAATATTGAGAAGCAATGATGGAATAAAGAGTGCCACTGAGCAGAAAGCTAAACTCCTTGGGGCCCCTCTTTCTCCAAAGACAAGATATTCCCTGCGGCAAATAGAAAGAGAAAGTCTGTACCACAGAGAATACCAATCCAGACCCGAAGTGCAAAGACAAGCACTTCTGCTGCATGGACGAAAGCTTTATGAATTCCGCGAGTACAAGAATTACTGTGCAGTTGAATCCGGCTACAAAAAGGGCCATTTAGACCAGCCATCAACAGCAGATGACACTTTACAGGATCACAGCTATAGTAAATAAGCAAGACAGACATATGCAAGCCATTGTCATATACCCACCTTTTGCCTTAATACTTGTGTTGAGGTCAATCATACCACTCTTGCACAGTAACCTGACACCTGAAATGAAAGAAAGATGGAAATAAATATGCAATAATAAAAAAAAGTAAGAAAATAATAATAATAAAAAAAAAAATATGTGGTTGAATAAGAAGGGAGACCTCCTCGTGGTTTCAACTGGAAATAGAAATAATATGCCTCTTTATTTCTAGCGAACGTCCCTTCAGTGCCCCCCCCCCCCAACAAGAAACCAGTTAACAGTCAGTAAATAAGTAAACCTTGAGTGTCACATAAGTCTAAGCCAATCTCAAAGGTAGACACCATGTTTCCAGGTTTGGTCTAAATATTAAGGCCAACTGCAGGTTTAGTCAAAAGTCACACAGGTGTGAATTTTGGAGTGTACATGTTAACATTTCATTGTATGCTGTCAAAAACATGTTAGGTCTAAATATTAAGGCCAACTGCAGACTTGGTTCAAGGTCACAACATGTAAATAGGGTTAGGGCACATGATTTTTTGACACAATTGTGGGTTAGGGCTAGGGTCAGGACTAGGTCTTGGCTTAGGCCTCTAGGCTACATGCTTTTTGAAAAGATTGTGGGTTAGGGTTAGGGTAAGGACTGGGTCTTGGGTTAGGGTTAGGGTCAGCCCTGCTTACATCTCGTGACTTTAGACCAAATCTGCAGTTGAGTTGGCCTTAATATTTAGACCTAACCATGTTTTGATATCACTGTGAACAAAATGTTACACATTTACAACCCAAAATTCACACTCGGCCAACGGATACCCCCAATCATGGCTATTTTGATACCAAATAATCAAAAAACTTACTGCTGGGCAATAAAAAAGCAGTATTCTTACCATTTCTGACACTTTCCATTCAAAATTTCAGGAAATAAGCCTTTGAAAAAATATCAACATCCCGAGTCGGCCATGTTTCTTTATCTCATCAGGACTCAGACTAGCAATTATTTGCCCATTGACTTCAATGTTAAATGGCTGTAACATCACAGGCTGTAGCTTTTTTCTCAACATTCCGTTGGTTCCAATCTTTATAGGCACAATGGGGACAACATTTGGCAATCTCCTCATCATAATTTTGTAGGGGGTTGACCATTTAGATTTTTTGCTACACGGATTTGAAGTTGACTGGGGTGAAAATCTCACTTCCGACACAATGACTGCTCTGCAGAAAGACACTTTACACCCCCTATCCCTCCGCTGTAATATCATCAGTATTACCCAAAACTGCTATGAAATTGCAAATTTGATCCCTTTTCTCCAATTCTAGACCAAAAAGTCAACCCAAAAATGCAGGAAGAGGGGAGAAAAAAATTAAGGGAAAAATTGTCTATTTATAACTCGCACTACATTCGTCCATCATGAAATAAAGGGAAATAATTACTAGTCTTAGTCCAAATAGAGCCATACAAATAATGTTCGGACCATCATGTGACCAATTGCAGATCTACAAATTAGATTATTTATTTGGGACATGATATTGTTCATAGTTATGGCTTACTACACTGGAGTTCTATTATGTATAATAAACGCTTCCCGAGCGAAACAAAACATAACAATGTCACGTGACAATATTACATATGGCGGATACAAGCGTTCTTTGATTACATGCTGTTTGGTTTGATTATTAAATAATACGGCAATCTGTATATATGGGAAAAGGAGAATGAATTTCCCCAAATCCAAAACTAGATGACTGGAATATTTATTGAATGGAAAGTAAATATTTTATAAACAAAAAAATTCGGATTTGCAGTATCCTAGCTTGGATGGATTTGTGATTTGAATCTCGAACTCAGTGTTTTATACATTTTATTATAAAATTGTAATAAATGTTTTACATGAATGAATAAAATCTACAATTTAAAACAGTACAATAACATTGTGATTTGACGCTCTACAAATCACTAAGAGTATAACAATTGCTTGTTGAAAAAGCGTTAATAATATGTTTTTTTCCAATGCAGCAAAACCTACTGGACTGTTGTACTTAACTTATTATTTTTTAAAAATATATTCAAAAAGAATGCGTCTTTTACAGATTTCAATATAACCACAAATGGTTGATTGTTTTAATGCTAAGATATGTATTAATGGTTTGTATTTGAAAATCAAATTATATAAGCGAAAAATAGTAAGATACATTATGTATATCTTAAAACACGCCCTTCTCAGTTACTACTTCGGCGAATATCATTTGATAATTTAGATGATCAGAATTAAACACCGTTTTGCTATGTTATTATTTTTTTATGATTGGGTGGGGGTATACTTAATTAGGGGATTGGATTGAAAGATTATAGCTACCATCTTATGGAGACATAATGTGTGGTGCATTTACGGTCTTATAAAGCTCTATTCTTACATAAAGAATTCTTGATTCGCACGGAATTGTTTTATCCGTGATCATTTTAAGTCATGCTTATGCCAAGATCTGGGTAAGTGTTAATTTAACTAGATATCAGAAAAGTACCACGTTTTCATAAATGTACTCTTTAGATAAATTGTACAATATTTATCAGTTCACTAGTTACAATAAAATCATGCATTATAGCTATTTGTATTTATTTATCCCTGGTGCTTCAAATTCAATTTAGGGTGCCTCAACATATTTAAAAATATGTTTTAAAGCTTTAGGTCATTTTATTATATCTTTCTACCATAAATAATAGCCCGAATTTAGGTATACTAAAAGTTAAAGAAATATAAACAGTTTTTGAGTCATTCAGATATGACTGCCAAAATTGTCACCAACACACATGTCGTGTTTAGGCTAAAATCTAACCAGAAAAGTATTGTCAATACATAATAAAATTTATATTCCATTAATCAATTCCATTCCGCAATTGGTTTGTCTTAAACTCGTCATTTGTGTTCATGGGCATCAGGGTCGAGATGGCAACGTTATATGTTTTATTCGTCTAATTTACTATAAAACATCATTCGGTTTGCCTCACGGGTTAACGGCATATTAATAGCTTTATTCACTGAGATGGTTCCTTTGTTATAGTTTATTTTTCGAATTGCTTTTTGTATTTATTTAAATGGAAATATTAACAACATTCTATAAGTCAATCCACGAACATACCCAATTTCAATATTTGCGTGTTGACCTTTAACATCACACTTAGATCCTGTACGCTTTGTGTCTTACAGTCAATACATGTCATGAAGAACTCTTTAGACATAATTTCTTTTATAATACTTTACTCGTTTCTATTGAGTTGTTTAGCAGAAGTAACCCATGACAACAATATGTTGAGACGACTACGTAACAGAATAGGACGATTCAATGTTATTAAAATGACACAATGACAATTTTAATTTTATTACCAACCCTTTCACAATATTTGAATGAAATATCTCACACGGGGTGTTAATCTGTTTTCAGTTTCTATTCCAATTCAATAAAACGTGTAATACATGTCTTCGCTTGATTCATTATTTACAATTTATTACGTTAATAAATAATAATACAGTTCAAGAGATCAAAACATTTCCGAATTTATACATTTAACATTACACGTAGACCTAAATGTATTTTTCAAATACGTGTATAAACATTTATATGAAATATATTATAAACAGATATGCTATGACCAGAGTTGCCATTATCTTTATTATTCGACTGGAAAACTCCTGTCATTCACTCTGTCGTTCGACTGATCCATCATTCACGTTGTCATTTCCGAGTCTGAAATTTGGGGTATAGGGGTAGCTCGGACCGGGGAGTAACATAGGCCAGGTGGCGTTAGTCTACCACTTCCGGTTTCGGAGTTATGACCCCCGAGCGAAGCCGGGCATTCTTCTAGTATATAAATAAATATATAAATAAATCATCTTCATGGTCATCATCATCGTCATCATCATCGTCATCATCACTATTTAACACCAATCATCGTCGCCTGACAATTACCTTATCTATTCAAAGCGCTTGTTTAGTTTTAAATACTTGTGAACTATACTAAAACTCACTGTGTTGAACGGGTTACTTTCGTTGGTATCGCCATATAGGAACGCGTTTGTATTTATGGATTTAAATGGGAGGGTATTTAATGTTGAGATACGCTGAGACGAATAATTTGGGCAGTGCAAAAAATAATGGTCGCTGTCTTCTTGAGTATGACCACAACTGCATGTCGGGTTATGTGAAATATGCATTAAAAATCTATGGAAGTTTAAAGCACTTTTACAATTACGAAGTCTGGAATGTATAATCTGAAATTTACGTTCTCCATAGTAACATCTTACTGACATCAATAAATACAAAAATATGACTAAGTCGAAAGTCAACAAGACGGTATACAAGCCAAAATGCAAGTCGAAAATAAGAAATTAGGAAAAAAAACGAGGGGCGCTATTATCGCAGTGTATTATTTCTTAATTTCCTATTTTCGAGTCGATTTTGGCTTGTATAGCGTTGCTGTCGCCTCACATTTTGTCGTAACTGCTACTTTTCGACTTTCGTGTTTTGGAGGGCGAAAAGTAGAAATTAAGAATGGTAGGCTTCTATAGTTAGGCGTTTGTATATATGACTGTATACTTGACACATGTACGACCTGAATGGCCGGTAACCAAATATGTTATTGTGAGTGTTAAACGACATCGTAATTATTTTATATTTTGCAAAAAAAACAAACAACAAAAAACAAAACAAAAAAACACAAGCCGTGATTGCCATTACTACAATACGGATTACTAAATATACTTCGTGATCAATTTTATATTTTAATACTGAAGACAGGGCCGGACTATAAATGAACAAGGCGGATCCTTTTGGCTTATATTGAGTAATTATTGCAACGTGTTACAGTTGAAAGTTCCAAAGCATTTTCACATTCCATGTCCGATAAATTTAATCATCATGCAACCACTGATTGGTGGGTCGTCGAAACATTTAGATGCATACATCACAGCACCGTGGTTTAGACAACTTGCAATTGAACTAGTTTTATTGTTGTACACATAATGAAAGAAACTGTGTTATTTCACAGCTGAATTCTATGGTAAGAACCGTAGAACCACCTTGTAGGGAATAACTTTTAAACTTTAACACCCTATACACACTCTGCCAGCGGCATCTTTGACCCACACTCACTTAACCTTAATCCAAACTTTAAATCTTTCAACGGTTTAACAAGAAGGTGCTAAATATTTCCATTTAAATAAATACAAAAAGCAATTCGAAAAATAAACTATAAGTAAAGGAACCATCTCAGTGAATAAAGCTATTAATATGCCGTTAACCCGTGAGGCAAACCGAATGATGTTTTATAGTAAATTAGACGAATAAAACATATAACGTTGCCATCTCGACCCTGATGCCCATGAACACAAATGACGAGTTTAAGACAAACCAATGGCGGAATGGAATTGATTAATGGAATAAAATATTTATTATGTATGGACACTAAGTTTTCTGGTTAGACTTTAGCCTAAAAAAACATGCGCGCTGATTACAATTTTGGCAGTCATATCTGAATGGCTCAAAAACTGGTTATATTTCTTTAACTTTTGGTATACTTAAATTCGGGCTATTATTTAATTAGGATTTACGAATTACTTGCACAACTATTCTAGACTGTCGGAACAATAAGGTTTGGTTTTCGTTTCGGGAATTCTAAGTACGAACTCAAAAAGGCTCGGTACATTAAAACGGTCATATTTATTTAACAAGAATTTAAGAATTTGGTGCATATGGGTAGCTCGGACCGGGGAGTAACACAGAAGCTTTAATGAACCGGAGACGGCATGACGTCATGTTTACCATTATGACGATTGAAGCCATTTTGGTTAACCCAAATCATTAAGAATAATTGGTTGAGTGGTGTAAATATAAAACTCATTTTTAAAAACAAATAAACGAGAATAACTTAAAACCTAATTATCCCAGAGGAAATTTGTTTTACAAAGTGAAGCAAAGCATATATAGATATAAATAATAAATTATTAAGTTATAATATATCATGTACGTCTATAAAGAGAGAGGTAATATTGGCCTAAACTGTTCTTCAATTATTTTCTTAGGATAAAATATTGTTTATTAAAAAAAAGTCTATAAACCAGGGTAGATTATATACAACAGATTGTATAGATTTATGGATAACTGTACAGTTATAATAAAACAAGTAAGCCCTATTAATATATAGAATTAAAAATAACCTATAAGAACGGATTGTATAGATTTAGTTACCATTATACAGTTATAATAAGAAAAGTAATTTCTATTAAGTTACAGAATGAATCAAAAATAGCCTATAGTATAAGATATATACAACAGATTGTATAGATTTATGAAAATGGCAATACACATAAAATATTTCATATCTAAAAAAATGAAATGAGGGTCATTCCATATGAACTGGACCAA